CCTTCTTGAAGAACTGAGCCTTAACCTTCGTCAAAGCCTCGTCGAGAGGAGAAGTTTCAGTGGACTTCCCCGACTGAGTAGAAGCCTCCTGACTAATATCAGACGAACTTCCCTTGCTCTCGATGATGGCATTCAGATAGCCAACAGGATCAGTTTGCTTCAAGAGTTCTAAGTCTTCTTTCGACCTATGCTTTGTTGAGGTGACAACCTTTGCAGCAGCGTTGTCTTGGGGTTGAGGCTGTTGAGTAGCATTTGCCTCGACTTGACTCTCTTCGACTTGGACTTCGGCAGTACCAGCGTCACCGTGATCCCCTTCGCCAGCGTCACCGTGATCCCCTTCGCCAACGTCACCGTGATCCCCTTCGTCACGATGTTCCTCCGACAGATCAACCACCTGAATCTCTTTTGGTTGTTGCTCTTCTGTTTGTGGATCTTCTGTTTGTTGTTCTTCTATCTCAGCATTGGCTTCATTTGTTTCAGCATTGGCTTCATCGTTCGCCAAGTCTTTCTCTTGTGGCCTATTGAGTTCAGCAGAGTCCAATGTCTCAGAAGTCCTTGGCGCTGAGCTTTCAGTGGTTTCCTGGAAAAAGAAGAAGAAGCATCTTCTAAGTTAGAAAGAGACATAATCGAACGTGGGTATCGACACCTGGGTTAAAAAAGGGTCAAAGAGATTACCTGCAGAGGAACTTCAGCCCCAGGGCTGGAATTGTCGCTTTCGACAGGTTTATTGAGAAGAACATTTAGTTCCTCCTCCGTTGGCTCTTCAATAATTACTGGAGGTGGCCTGGGTTTTCTCCCAGCAACCTTTATTCTGATTATTCGAGTCTCAGGAGAAGGAACGTCCTTCTTCAGCTTTCGCCTTTTAAGAGGAGCAGGGGGAGAACCGTCTTCTTCGTCACTCCCAGATTCGACCGTCAGTGCTGGTCGTTTCTTGGGTGAAGGTGCCTAAAAACCAATTGGAGTTCGATTTAGAAGCTACATCGAAAGTCAGAATGTTAAAGCCAGAAGAAAATAATAAAAGTCTGGTTACCGGTGCAGAAGGCTTTTTCGAAGGACCTTCCCCTTGGTGGCTTGTTATAGTCTTCGCCGGCGCTATAGTTTTCGCCGGTGGTGGAGGTTTTGTCAAGGGGCCTCCTCCCTGATGGCCTTCTGCAGCCTTCTTGGCTGCAGGCTTTCGAACAACTGAAAGTAGACAAAATAATTAACAGGCTACCAGTCGAAAGGGAAAGACAAAGTAATTTGGAAGGATGAACTTACATTTCTTTATTTTGTCCAAGACAAGAACAAAAGACTTCTGAAGTTCGTCCACGAAGTCCTTCTCGTCGAAAAACTCCTCAGCGTAGTAACTTTTCCACCACTCTTCGAAGGATGGTGAGCAGAGAAAGTTAAGCTGATAGTCAAACAACGAAAGAACTGTTCGACCAGCATACCTGCCGATATGCTTAGTGGCAGCGTCTTCAGTGTAGTCGTTGCAAAAGTATAACATAGACTTCTCCCTGGGAAAAATAGGAGAAGGAAGTGTTTGAATGATACCAAACTGGCGAGACACCAAGTTTGGTTGATACGCGATCAGGCTCAAGTGAGTCTTGGAGCTCTTGAATCGCAGGGGCATTATTCTTGGTGTGAGAAATGCTTCCCACACTGTTGTATGTTCTTCGACCTGAGGACCACTTGACGACTTAGGATGTGGCCTCGTGAACCACTCTGGACCAACCTTTCGTCGAGCAAAGGGAGCCATGGTCGAAGCAAACTCTTTCCTTTTTGCAAACATCAAGACGAAGTTTGTAAAAGTTTGTTGAAGCTCCAGCCCATCTTCCGTTGGGGTCAGCAGAACCAATCTGGTGCCTTCGATGCACCTATTTGCTATTTCCGGAGCCTGTTCATTTATTTGAGTCTTCTGAGGTAAGAAAGACTCGAAGGTGGCATTGAGCCACAGCTGAAGCAGCCAAAAAGGTCCAGCAAGCAGCAGACTGGCTCTGTTTTCGATGATCTTCAAAAGAGTCGCTCCGCTGCTAATCGACTCGTACAGATTCGCCAAAATCAATTCTGCCAAACAGATATTTTGGCCATGGTGGAGTTGGGTGGCGAGAGTGACCATCTTCTTGGTCACCTGTAAAGACTTGGTGCAAAACACAAAGCGTGACAGCCATAAGGCTAGAAACGCGATATGCTCTACATCCGACACAGCGTCCGACGACTTATCATGGTAATGATTGATGTAGGTGGTGTAGGTTGGTTTTGTGGCAGAGAATCCAATCTGATCCTCCGACATTTCCTCTGGGTCGAAATAGTCCCCAGTGGGTCGAAGGCCAGTGATGGCGGCCACGTCGAACAGCGTGGGAGTCAGCATTCCACAGGGAAGGTGGAAGGTGAAATGGGTGTAATCCCAGAAGAGTAAGGAAGCTATCAACATTTCTGGGGAATAGTTAAGACCCGTCTTCGACAACATAACCAGGTCGAATATCCCCAGGTCTTTCCAGATCGAAGCCTGGCTTTTCTCCATTTTTTCCAGCCAAGCACTATAGTCAGGAGTGAGGCTAGGGCTAGACCTGAAAGCCCTAACACCTCTATTGAAGAAACGAAGGTCGATTTTCTCCTTAGCAGGATCTTCATTATCCTCTGCATCTTTCTTAGAGCATCCAACCGGTTTGAGTTTTTCAAGCACTGGAAAGTAGCTTTTGATCTTCATGGCTTCAGCGATGCTTGGGTATAGCGGGCCAGACATGGCAAAGATTTGGTTGGAGTATCCAACCGGAATCATGAGTTGGCATGAATAAGCGTCACGTTCAGCAATGTCTAAGGGCTCAGGGACCCTTCGTTGGCCTGTGGGAGTAACTACGGGGGCAGTGGAGAAAATCCGAGGTTTAGTGTTTCTGGAGGAAATGTTAGAGCCAGGAGCGGTGGAAGAACCGGACGCCATTGTTGATGATAAGGTTGAAGATGAAGTGAAGAACAAAGTTGTTTGCAAAGTTTGCAGAGAGTTTGTGTTCAGGGAAGTTTGAAGGCAAGGTAGCGTGAAAAAGTCCCACAATGGGTACTTGGCGCTATTTATAGTAGTTGGGGAAATCCCCAAATTCGAGGACATTTAATGCCATTTAATGTTGCAGAAGGTAGTGGGACACGTGGCGTCCCCCTATTGACATAGCCGTTCTGCAAAAATGAAAGGGTGCAGCGTGCGCCCTCGTTTTTGGGAATTGTCATGATGACAATTTATGAAAGGACATTTGGCATGATGCACGCCGTACTGAGGTGACGTCTTAGGTACGGATGAAATGATGGCTTTTCCTTGGGATTGTCAGTGGTTGGTAGAAGACAAAAAAGTGCACAATTTAATTTGTGACTAAGAATGAAAAGACAGGTGTCGAATGGAGTTTCAAAGAATGCCTTTTTCTTTTCAGAGTCGAAATAAGGCATTCTTGGGGGGAAATTTGTTGGCTCTTAAATTCGACACCCTTGTTTTTATTAATATCAGCCATTAAAGTTGAAGGATGTTTTCGACCAGCAGGGTCTGTTGAAATGCCCATCAGAAGATGTCAATGTACTTAGAGGATTTCTTCCACGGGAGAATTTGGTTGCCTTCGACGTCGAAGGTGTGGCTCGTCGAAGATGCCTCTCGACGAAGGTGTTTGATTGCTCGGAGTGGGATGGTTTGAAATTCAAGCGTTTGGAGGGAAAACGGTTCCCAGCGGTTACCAAGTGCAACGTGCAAAGATCTGGAGCGTCGAACGCTGAGAACGTGCCAAGTGGAGTCATCTCGAAGCAGTGTAACTGCCCGACGGTTACTTGGGATGTTTAGTATAAATATTAGTAGTTCATGCAGTTTTTCGCGTGTGTTCATAATTATATACAAGTCACTCATATAGATTCGAGTACCCAGCGTGTGAGAAAGAATTGTTGAGAATGTATGTGTGAAACACCACTTTTATTAATCAAAGTCATTTATTTTCCAGAAACTTTACTTGTTTTCTCCTTTACTTTTCCTGTCGAAGCCTTTATTTCAAGCCTTCCTTTATTTTATCAAGTCCACTTCTTCATGCAATTTACTTAAAGCCTCTTTATTTTCTTGTCATTTAACCATTATCAAACTTAATCAAAACCCCAAAATCAACCATGTCTTAGGATCAATCTGATCGATCCTGCGAGTAACCAAATAAGTAACCATTTGGAAGATCAGCGGTTGTTTACCAATAACTACGGTAAACACCAGTACCCTCATTAGTTTGATGTTCGACCCGATTTTTAAAACACTGCATAAAATAATTATATTAAGGCTAAATTACAGTTTTTGTCCATTTATTTTGGTGAACTCACATAACGAGTTATCATATTTATTTTGTAAACAATTTTAGTCATGATGCTCATTTTTCGTCCAAAAATCGTTGATGTGTACTATTTTTTAAATACGTGCTATTCTTTTATTGACTTGGTATAAGAAAAGTTAATTATTCATTGCATTTGTGACAATGTTTTCTTCCTTAAGTGGGTTTCTCCGATCGTCTTCTTCATCCTTTTTCTCTGTGAGCTTGTTTGTTCGTCTTCTTTATTCTCTAAAAAATATTATATATTCTTTCGCTCAAAAAGTATGTCAGGTATATAAAAAAAAGGGTTAATAGTCATTTACTTCATATAATATAGACGAGTTTTGATTTACTCCTCTTTTTAAAAAAAATTTAATACATCCTTTAAAATGTTAAAATTCTAAGTCTTTTGTCTCCCAAATAGAAATATTACTCCTTTGTAAAAAAAGAATTTATTTATCTCCCTCATTTTTAAATACTTAGGAGTTGCCCAAAAAATTACAAATGATAATCAATTTTTTTTATAAAAAAATGGATAAAATAGAGAGAATAAAATTATAATTTAATATATTAAATAAATTAGACATCGCAGAAAATAAAACAAAATAAAATAGTCAGAAACATCAGCAAATCATGCTAAACATTTTATTAAAGTCATGAGATTTAGAACATATACATAAGACTATTCTTGACCTTACAATTTTAGTTGATTTGGGACATAGATTTACCAAGGGAAAGTAAAGGACTAATCCTTGGTGTCCTTGGTGGCTCAGAAAGTTGATTCCCTTCACTATCATAAAATATTGCACCTGAAAATTCCAATGGTTGACATTTCTCCCCCATTAATATGGTCTTCTTCCACAAGCATTTATCATCCTCTTGCTTCTTCGTTTTCTTAAGGTGGCCATGCATTACCTTGTAGATGTTCTTGATGATATTCTTTGAATTAGTTGATAGCTCCTCTTGCTTCTTTGTCTTGAAGCAAATAACTTGGTTAGGATGATTGGATTTTGTCTTCCAATCATGATATGGACGAAGACAAGTAATGTGGATGGAAATTGTTGGTGTGCCCAGATGATTTCTGAAACCACTCAAACTAGCCATCTTTGTTACATATATTGTAAATAAGTTTGTATGCTTTGGGGTTGGTTAAAAAAAATAGGACTAAGGGGGGTATTTATGCTTATTGGAAAAATATTTAAAAATTGATAATATCAATAGTTTTTTCTATAAAGGGTCAGACCACATTCTCACAAATTATATATTTTGTAAAAAACAATGTACATTAACAACAAACCATAATCAATATTATATATCACTTTAAAAGGTAAAGTTAACATTTGTGATAATAAAAAAAGTTACCATTAGTGACAAAATACTTTTTAAATATACTAATAGTGTTTATGTAATAAAGTCAACTTATACCTTTGAAAACATTTACTTTATAATATTACTATTAATATTATTATTAATAAAAGTGTACTAATTCATTCTAAAAAAAAATGGGGAATTGAAAAATAAAATAAAAATAGAAAATAAAAAGTAAATCTGAAAATAAAATAAAAAAATCTGTTAAGAAAAAAAAGTTTTTTTTTTTATGAAAACAAACAAAAAATTATTTAAAAAATTACTTCTAAAAGAATTCAAAATATAAAATCGACTTATAAAAAAATTGGTTATAAATCAGTTTATAAATACAAATTGATTCTAAATCGATTTTATATTAAATTAAAACCACTTTAGCGGTTATCTGCTTTTTTAAAAATTTGAAAATAAAAAGTAAATAAAAAAATAAAAAAATAGTTTTATAATTTATGCAAAAAGAAAAAACTTAAAAAAATTAGTTTAAAAAGAATTATAAATATAAAACCGGCTTATAAAAGAAATGTGTTATAAATCAGTTTATACATATAAACTGGTTCTATATCAGTTTTAAATTAAATTGAAATTATTTAGCGGTTATAAAATTGAAAATAAAAAGTGTTGGAAACCCACCAATACTCTATGATGAATTTCGACCACCACTGATGATTAGTTATGAGACAAACAAAGAAAAGACTATAGAGATATTTCTGCAGAGTTTCTCTCTGCCCACAAACTGTGGAAATTTTATTATTCACTTTGCAACTGTAAAATACTGTGAATTACTTGATTACAAAAATAAGGGTTACTCCCTCTATTTATAGATTTAGGTTAGCTTGCTCCCTAAGCTAAAACCCAAGCCCAAAATATCTTTTTACTAAATCAAATCTAATCAAATATATTCTAGATTTAAATTCAAATCTATTTAAATCTAAACAAATCAAATATTCTTTTTACACATATGAATTACAATTTAACACACCACCTAATTCATTGTGTCTAAACTGTCTATGTTCATCATGGCCCTTAGCTTTCTGAATACTTCGACCTGCACTCCCTTCGTCATGATGTCTGCAATCTGATTCTCAGTTCTGCAGTGTTCCAAATTCATCTTCCCATCTGCTACCTGCTCTCGAAGATAATGGAACCTCATTTCGATGTGCTTACTTCGACCATGTGCTATTGGGTTCTTCCCTAGATTGATAGCTGACATGCTGTCTATCTTCATGGTAATTGCTCCATGATTTTTCCCTGTTATCTCTTCGACCAAGTTCACCATCCAGGTTGCTTGACATGCACAAAGAGAAGCAGCTATGTATTCTGCTTCGCATGATGATAATGCCACTACTGGTTCTTTTTTTGAACTCCAAGCAATTGTTGCACCACCTAGCATAAACACATATCCTGCTGTTGACTTTCGATCTTCAGCATCACTACACCAACTCGAATCAGTGTATCCCACTAACTTGCATTCTTTTCCTTTATCAACTGCAGGAAACAAAATGCCATAATCGAAAGTTCCTTTGAGATGCCTTAGTATCCTCTTCACTGCTGCTAGATGTGATACCTTTGGCTTCTGCATGAATCTACTTACCATACCTACATTGTATGCTAAGTCAGGCCTTGTATGACAAAGGTATCTCAGTGATCCAATAAGTCTTTTGTATTGGGTTGGATCAACATCATCTTCATCTGCATCTTTCGACAGTTGCAGTCTTGGTTCTGCAGGTGTCGAAGTTGAGTTGCATTCTTCCATCTCAAACCTCTTGAGAATTTCTCTTGCATATCTTCTTTGATGCATCATCAAACCTCTACTGCTCTTGTAGAATTCGATACCAAGGAAATATGAAATCTCACCCAAATCAGACATTTCGAATTCCTTGCTGAGATTACCTTTGAAGTCTTCGATCTCACTCTTGCAGCTACCTGTTATCAACAAATCATCTACATAGAGACATAGTATAAGAAATTTACTCTTGCTTCTTCTTACATATACTCCATGTTCAGTTATGCACTTCACAAATTCCTTCTCCCTTAGAAAACTATCAATTTTCTTATTCCAAGCCCTTGGAGCTTGTTTCAATCCATACAGGGCTTTGTGTAGCCTGTACACCTTTCTTTCTTCGTCATGTTTCACAAACCTAACTGGTTGTTTAACATAGACTTCTTCATCTAAGGGTCCATTTAGGAATGCACACTTCACGTCCATCTGACATATGTGCCAACTGTTGATTTCTGCTAGACCAACAACCAGCCTGATTGTTTCGATCCTAGCAACAGGTGCAAAGACTTCGTCGAAGTCTATTCCTTCTTTCTGTAGAAATCCTTTCGCAACAAGTCTTGCTTTGTGTCGAGTTACTTCACCTTTCGAATTCGTCTTCACTTTGTATACCCACTTGACATCAATTGCCTTCTTTCCTTGAGGAAATTTGACAAGTGACCAAGTGTTGTTGTCTTCGATAGACTTTACTTCTTCGTTCATTGCTTTCACCCACTTCGAATCCTTTAATGCTTCAGCTGCATTAACAGGTTCGACATCTGCATAGAAAGCATAATGTACCAACTCACCTTCATCATCTATTACATCATATGATGTAATCACACAATCTTGCAATCTTGCAGGCATGTGTCTTGTTCTTTGAGGCCTGCTTGTACTTGGTATATCTGCTGGTTCCTCTTGTCGAACTTCTCTTTCGACTTGAGTTTCTGGATCTTCGAATAAGATTCCCACTGAATCTTTCTTGGCATTTGCAGTCCAATCCCATTCTTTAAAATCATCTATGATCACGTCCCTGCTGATCACAATCTTCTTGTTCTCTGGATCGAACAACTTGTAGCCTCCTGTCGAATGATATCCAACTAGGATCATTTGACTTGACTTGTCATCAAGTTTCTTTCTCAACTGATCTGGCACATGTCTATGTGCAATAGATCCAAATACTTTCAGATGACTCAGGCTAGGCTTCACACCAGACCAACATTCTTCTGGAGTAATTCCTTCTAGCTTCTTTGTAGGACTTCTGTTCAAAATGTATGTTGCAGTCGAAACAGCTTCACCCCAGAACTCTTTGGGTAAATTCTTGCCTTTCAACATACTTCTCACCATATTCATGATGGTTCGATTTTTCCTTTCTGCAATTCCATTTTGCTGTGGAGTATAGGGTGGCACCACCTCATGCATAATCCCTTCCTTTTCACATAACCTGTCGAAGTCTTTCGACACATATTCTCCTCTACCATCAGTTCTCAAAACTTTGAGCTTTCGACCACTTTTTCTTTCGACCATGGACTTGAACTTGGTGAATACTTCGATCACTTCACTTTTCTTCTTGATCAGGTAAGTCCATAGCTTTCGACTGAAATCATCTATGAATGTAACAAAGTATTTGTTACCTCTCATCGAATCCACCTGGATTGGTCCACATACATCAGAGTATATGACTTCGAGACTAGCCTTCGATCTGCTTCCTGCATCCTTGCTGAAGCTATTCTTGTGTTGCTTCACCTGCACACATTCTTCACATACTTCGTTTGGAATATCAATTTCAGGCAATCCTGAAACCATATTTCTTCTCTTCAAATCTCTGATGTCTCTGAAGTTGAGATGACCTAGTCTATAATGCCATATCCATTCATCTCTGCTAGCTGCAGTCGAAAGGCACTTGTGCTCCATCACATTTAGTTCAATCTTGAAGGTTCGATTCTGAGACATAGGAGCCTTCAAGATTACCCTCCCATTTGCATCAACAACTCTCATTAACTTATCTTCGATTGACACTTTATAATTCTTTTCGACCAACTGCCCTATACTGAGCAAATTTCTCTTCATGTCTGGTATGTACAATACATTCGAAATTACTGACTTCTTGCCATCTTTCCTCATGATCATAACATCACCAATACCTTCTGCTGCTAGGGTGTTGTCGTTTGCAAATTTTACCATATTCTTCGTTGAGGGTTTTATATTGACGAACCAGTCTTTCCTTCCAGACATATGTGATGAACATCCTGAATCCAAGTACCATTGGTCCTTGAATCTATCTTCATCTCTTGTTGTGACCATCAACATCATCTCTTCTTCTTCTTCTTCTTCATGTTTTGCCAGCTTTGCATCACTTTCTTGATTTTTTCGTTTTTATGGACAATCACTTGAATAGTGACCATACTTCTGACAATTGTAACATTGAATGTGACTCTTATCAGGTTTTCGACCACCACCTCTTCCTCTATTTGCAGCACCACCTCTTTGGTTGCCTTGGTGTGGTCTTCTTTGATTCGACACGTCTCCTTCGATTTGGTTTCCTCTACCATTCGATTTGTAGCCACCTCTACTTCTGTCGAAATACTTTCCTTTGCCTTTGGTTTATTTTGCTGAATGTGCCTGCAAGGCTACATCACTCTTCGATTTTCCTGCAGCTCTTTCGTTCATTCTTTGTTCATGAGATTCGAGCGTCCCTTGAAGCTCTTCCTTTGTCAATTTCGACAAGTCTTCCCCTCTTCGATCACCACCACTATGTGGTCGAACTTAGGAGCTAAGGATCTCAGGATCTTCGAAACAACAGCTCTTGTTGTTAATGTTTCTCCACATGTCTTGATTTGATTCACTAGTTTTGTAACTCTAGTGAAGAAATCAGATATGTTTTCACTGTCTTCCATCTGAAGCAGTTCATAGGTCCTTTTGTGAGTTTGTAACCTCACTTCTTTCACCTTCTCAGCGCCTCCAAAAGATTTCTCCAGGATCT